GCATTAACCTTGAGGGTGCGATGGTTTGTTTCCGTTGGCTTTCTTAGATTGATCTTACCGCTTTCATCTCTCTGTATTTCAAGATACAAGCAAAAAATATCTGTGTGAACAAATTTGTTCATTGAAAAACTTTTTTCTGATTTTCCTCTGGTTTGTCTTTGACTTTTAGATAGACAACAGTTAACTTTCAATCAAGAATTTTGGTTACTCTGCAGTCATCTTTTGCACGACATATGTCTGGGCAAGGATTTGATACTTGGATTCTTGAAGTTCGAGGAGCAGGCTTGAGTGCAAAAAATAGTCTAAAGGATCCTCGCCAAGGTACTACAGATTCAAATGGTTTAACTGTGACTCATGAGGCAAATAATGCTTCTATCAATGGGAATACTGTCCAATCTGATGACTTGCAAATTTTGACAAATTTGGCAGGAAAATTTGAGGGTATATCTGAAGAGCAACTTAGCTCAACTGATGAAGGTCAGTAACAATGGATAACTTATTGCTTAGCATACAAAATCAATCAGGAAGAAATGGTGAAACTGTAAAACCCTTTTGAAAAGGAGAATGCATGGTCATCACATTCATATTTGGATAAAAAAATTCAGGTTTACGAGATGCAGCACAAGTTTCTTCCATCACTAGCCAACTAAGGGACTTCTGTAACAGACTTGGAGAGATTATTAATGAAAGTCAACAACCAATCACTCAGTTTACTGGTTTGCAAAACCGCTTTTCTATTACACTGGGAGATTTCTGGAAACAGCTTCATCTGATTGGGAAGTATAACTGGGACTTCGATCATTACTTGGAAGAAGATGTGCCTATAGCGGTGAGGTGACATCTCGTGGCATAGTTTTTGAACAGATTGTTCTTTATCTCCTGGTGGATCATATTGTAGGAGCTTTCCTAGGATTATCATATTTATGCACTCGATGTGCATTAGTTAGCCTTTGTGTTTTTTCTTATGTAGATGGACTACATAAGGAACCAAAGCAAACCAAAGGATGGAAAGTTGCTTGCTATTGGACATTCCATGGGAGGTATCTTGCTGTATGCAATGCTCTCACAAGATGGTATAACGCCTTCTCATCTATTACGACTTCTGTACTTCCTAGTCTTAATTATGGGAGAAAATGGTTGCCAAAGTTAGTCAAATAATCTTTGGATTAATTTCATAATGATTCCTACTAGGATTCATTTATTGTTAAAAACAAAAAAACTCCTCGAGAGTCAAAATGACTAAATCTCATAGTTAAAGTCGGAGTAGATAAATTCATCTACAAATTCAGATATTTAAAAACTGAACAAAAAGCACTATAAGTTGCACTTCTCCTCATATCTAAATGATGATATTAGGTCAAAGCTCACTTTGTCTGCTCTTGATAAGCGAAAAGTGCCACACATTTGGGGAAAGAGGGACTACATCTGTAATTTTTTTTCTTTTTTTTAAACCGAGAAATCCGTCTGGGGCCCGCCCCTCTACATCTGTAATCTTCATGTAGTATACATATACATGTTTGTAAATGTGTATGGATTTACCAGGTTACAGAGGAAAGAACACTGAGTTGGCTTCAGTCATCACTTTGGGTTCATCACTGGACTACACTACTTCAAGGTCATCCATGAAAATGCTTATACCCTTCGTAAGTGAAATGAAACACTTCACATACTGCACTTTACGGTTTCATAAAGACCGTACCTATTTTTTATCTCTGATGTGATGAGAAGAGGGTTTTAATTGTTAGTGGATGCACAGGTAGATCCTGCAAAAGCTGTAAATCTTCCAGTTGTTCCAGTCAGAGCATTACTCGCAGCCATCTATCCTCTTGCATCCTATCCTCCGTATCTCTTGTCATGGTTAAATCCTCAGATATCTGCACAAAATATGATGCATCCAGAATTGTTTGAGAGGCTTGTCTTGAAAAACTTTTGTAAGTATGAGCTGGTTTTCTTAGTAAAAGATCGTAGTCATCACTGAAAAGAGATGCAAAACATGATTGACTTGTAGGCTGTGTTCGATATGATGGAAAATGTTTTCCGTGGAAAATAAGTGGGTTTCTTACTTATTTTCTTGTGTTTGATACACAAGCAAAATATGTTATCCTAAAAGCATTTGTATATAATCTAGACAAATACTAAAGGAGGAGAAGTTAGAGGGTAGTAGTTATGGGGTGGTGGGATGGGAGCTACAGGGGGTGTGAATGAAGATGAGGTGTATTGAAGGTGGGAGGACACTATCAATGTGGAATGTCACTTGTGTAACTTGTTTTCCATACTTGCATTAGGGAAGTCATTTTACTCAACTTTTAGAAACTTATTTTCCTAGAGAACATGTTTTTCAAAAATTTTGATCAACCGAACATGAGAAAATTGGAAATTCCTCCATACCGAACACACCCATAATGTTTTCTTTTTACGGTTAGTTGCATCCTGATAGTAAACGTCTTAAAGAGAATTGATATAATTGGTTCCACCTTAGGTGAATTGTTGACTTGATGGAAGGGGATAACAAGTGCATGAAATCCTAAACAAGATTGGTATCATCATATGGCATTACACTAGAACATCAATATCCAATAGGCAGTCAAGTTTTTGCATACAGTTCAAGCTAATATATGAGAATTTTCCTGAGAGAGATGTCATTATACGAGAAATCTTATTTAATTTACTTAGATATCCACGGTTGTCGATTATCATGTCATTGCACAATTGAATCTAACCTTTTGCTTCTCCAATAGTGGGTCTCATCGCATGTTTTATATCTGAGGGCGTTACCACAGTTGAACTCAGATAGTTTGTAAAGTTCTGTTTTTGTTACTCTGTATTGTACTCCCATTCAAACTTTTAACAACCTTTATCTTGGAAATACTCACATTTATTGTGGGAAAAATGACTTTGTAGTTTTTATTTCTGAAATTCCTTTAGTTTCTCAAGCAAACTCTGTCAAGTAGATCCCTGACCAAGCAGTATTAGATGAATAAATTGTGTGTCTTTGTCATATTGTGTTGCATCAACTGTCTTTGAGATCATTAGACCACTGCTAACATGATACTTTGCACACCTAACTTCTCTCTCAAAGCCTTCAATAGATTAAAATATTGCATCCCCCAAACTCCCAACACTCCCCACTTAAAAAGAAAATAAGAAAAACTTTTGAGTGCTTTTACTGCTTTTATTCATGGAGTATCACATGGCCACATTTTATGCAGGCACTATTCCTGCTAAACTTCTGTCACAGCTATCAACAGCCTTCGGAAAGGGTGGACTACGGAATAGAAGTGGGACTTTCTTTTACAAGGACCATCTTCACAAAACCAATGTACCTGTTTTAGCTCTCGCAGGAGACAAAGACCTTATTTGTCCTCCTGAAGCTGTGTATGGTAGAATGTCAATTTGTGATTTGTTATCATGCTTACTCACATATTTACCTTCTTCCGATCATTTCTTTAATTAGCTGACTGGTAACTTTTTACTGTCATGTTCATGTACTAGAAACTGTCAAGCTGATTCCTGAGAACTTGGCTACTTATAAAGTTTTTGGTGAACCTCGAGGTCCACACTATGCCCATTATGATCTAGTCGGTGGACGAATGGTATGTGATATTGAAATAGTCATTTCAAAAAAGTTGCCACCCCACTAGTACAAGTTAGTTATAAATATGATGCAATGTAAATGCAGGCATACTATCAAGTATATCCACGTATAATTGAATTCCTCAGTCGACATGATATCTGTTGATCTACACCGGAGTGTAGCATCCTCTGCATCCAGTTCCATGTGAAGGTGTGGCAGAACTTGACCACCTCTACCACAGTGCAAGTGTCATGCGACAGTGGGAGAAGCTGAACCGTTAGTTATACACCCAGTGTGTGGGATCATGAGATGGGTGTAAAAGGCCAGGAGACCATGCAAACCATCTTAGTAGGAAGTATACGTCCATTGAGTTTCAAAGATGAGTAATTATGAACCATTGTGGGCAAGAGCGGAGGAGCTACAATACTAGGTATGGGTTCGGACGTATTCATCAGCTTTACCCTGTATTTATATTAATAAATTCATTTAATGTGTATAAATATTTAATTGTGAACCCTCTGTCATTAAATGGTTGGTAAGAAATGTGTAGTTGTGAAGCATCAGAAGTTCAATTCACTCGTAAAACAGTTGTATTGAGGGCCATTGAGGATTTTTTGGTTTGTGGTATAGGTTATGGAGGAGTTTGCCTGTATTTGTTTAAATCTTTTTCTCATTTGATTTGACATCCTGCCTACTTCTATTCCTCAATATTGATCAGAGATTGAAGGAATCAAGGTCCATTTATTGGATTGTAGTGACCCACTTGGAAAGCTATTGGCACTAAAAATGATAAGAAGGTCCACTCTTTAAATGTTAACATATGATGGTGTCAAGTTTTAAAGTGTTTTGACCAAAATACCCGTCTCTATAAAGATACATATACCAGGTGCAGCACTTGTCAATTTGAACCTAACATCTATTCTAGTAGGGCCAGTAGTGTACACGAGAAAAACAAGTAGAAAATAGAAAATTTAAGTAAAGAGGATAAAAGGTTAGGGAACAGTAGATGAAGTTTTGGCCTTTTATGGATATGGAGTAGTGGACCTCCTTCTTTCTTTCATGATATTTTTTCGATCATATTAATATGAGAAGAATTGTTCTTTATTTCTATATATTTACTTTTACTGTTTTTCTATGCAACACTGGAGCCAAAGGTCTTCCAAAAATAACCTCTCTACTTCATCAAGGTAAGGGAAAAGACTGGGTATATTATTGTTGTAATATGAGAAAGATTACAATTTATAATATTTTTCGAATCTGAAAATTTATATTACCTCTTAAACTAGATCTTGTGAAATATGTATGTAACATACCAAAATATGTGACATCACCCAAAAAATTTCCCTCCAGTAACAAATTTAGGGGTTAGTGTGCAAATATAAACAAAGGAACTAAACTGGCACGAGAAAAAAAAAGAGGCAAATTATAGTATGAAGCACGAAATCAACCTTGACATAGGATGGCAGAAACTTATCTTGCAATACATATAAAATTTGTACCATTCAATCACTGTACTCAAACCAGAAGCCTAATACTTTGTGTACCACTCGTTTCAATCCATCCACATAGGATTGCCACTCAAACAACAGAACCATCACTATCAGATAGAAACACCCTGCAAAGAATTTTCTTGCTTGTAATGATAACAGAAGAAGCTATACAAAAGACCAACAGGTTCATGAGGGGTGGAATTGTTTTTTGATGTCTAGCTATTAGACAGAGCTGCAGATTTACAAACTGGGCAACTATTTTTTTGACTCAGCCACTGCTTTATGCAACGAATGTGATAGAAATGTCCACAATCCAGCTTCCCCATCTCATCCTCAGCCTCATATTCCTCCTGTATTCAGAAAGGTACAATGTGTCAACTGTTAGAACCAAAAAATGTTTTCAAGAAGTAACAAAAATGATGTCTAACAAATTATTAGAAATAAACCTGACAGATAGTGCACTGCCTTTCCAATTCTGTGCGGATAAGAGATAAATTACTCAAAAGAAGGGTTTGGTTCTTCTAACACATCGAGCTATCTCGTCTTCTCTCAATCCTGTGTTGACATATCCAATTTTGTCACCAAGTTCCAGCAATTCCTGTTTGTTTCAAGGGTGGTCGTTAATTATGAGAATATGAAATAGAAACAAGGATGTCTAGATTGACAAGGGAATGACTTGCCTCATAGGACATGTTATCCACATCTAGTCTCCAGTTCCGGTATCGATCAAGACCATCTGTTCTTCCTCCCATAAGACTATTTTGAAGCATCACAATCTGCAATCACACCCCAAAAAGATCATGTATATTATGTCCTTAAATTTGGTTCCCGTTGTTCCATGGCAGCCGCCCACAATTCAGGAGATAACAGTGATGAAATATGGCAAGCAATTACCAGATTTTCGGAATCTTTAATGAAACTAGTTAGACAGAAATCAAATTAAGTAATTCGACGATTTCTATAAGAACAAAGGCATATTGATTCTAAACACTTTAAATAATGCCAACGTCAAACTTTGACAGCATTGAGTCAATGATGCTCAAGAGTATCAACTAAGTCATGTGATTTGAGGTGCTAGAGCAATTCCTTGGACTAAGCATGACGTCTCATTTAATTTGATTTGGCACTCAAAACTAAATGGTACGATCACAAGAAACTGTTGTATCTTCCTAGCTAACCAACATAATAAGTCAATAAACAATATTTTGGGCATTTTCCTAGCTAACCAACATAAATAAGTCATTAAACAATATGCTGGGCATCTTCCTAGCAAACCAACATAAATAAGTAAATAAGATCTGCTGGGCCATCTTCCTATCTAACCAGACATATTTGAAACACTAAGGCAAAAATGATAAGCAGGACGTATCAGCATGTAATACTGCCCAAGTTGCTGTTTTCCAGTAATAAACTGGACAAAAACTGGTGCAAAAACCCATCGCCCTAACACTGGTTCCTTCTAAAGAAAATGACAATTGACAATAAAATAGATATTCTCAAAACCATTGACATGACAGACAATGTGGTATCATGGGCTAGATGCTTGTGAGCACCAGAGAACTTACTTTTACTTGGACAGTCACATAGGAACGACAATACACAATTCACATGATAAACGGCAGCGAAGCAGCACGATATAACTAATCTATTTGGCAGTAAAGTATGTATATACTCACCTCTGCAAGTCCTTCTGAATAACCATGGCGAGAATGTCGATGATGCCTAGATGCAAATAACTCTATTTGGGAGCGTGGTATACTAAGGCTACTTTCTATATCCAGAAAAGGGTTGTCTTCTGGGCTCACCATTCTTCGTATAGGACATGCAGATCGCTGTACAGAAAGGAAAGGAAACAACTGTTAGATTTGCTAGAATTAACTTACATGTGAACCTTGCAATCAGCTTTATCAAGAATAAAATGTAAATCATGTACATTCACCTACAGATCTATTTGACTGAGGTTACAGCTTAAAATATTCATACGGTAGATTCAAAAGTGAGAATGGTGAGAAAATGAAGTAAACAAGGACAAGAGCGAGATAAACAAGCAGAACCAACAATGAGACATGGAGTGGAAGGATCACCAAGCAAGACTTTTTTTATTTGTAGAATGACCAAGTCTGACTTACCAAATAACTTTGATAATCAACAACTTCAATTCTTTGAGAGAAAGATGTAGTATGCAAGATTAGACATATCCGCAAATGACAAACCTAAAGAGCATAAGCTAAAATAGATGACATCCTAATTCATTGAGGGCACCTTCCCCACTTTTTGTCATCAGCTATCTACTAAGCTCTAATGGATTATTTAGAGGACAATATTACTATTGAAACTTTACTTCAGGCTGAAAAGCAACAAGCCACTGAGAAGCCCAAGGCAGATCCAAAGCTTAAAACTCAAAAGGTATTTGGAACATATGAAACCAAGATCAACAAGTAAATTCAAATAGTTAGCTAAATGAAACAGAATTGGGTACAAACAAGCAACAAACTTGGCATAGCAATTCAAATGCTTAAGAAAACAGTAAGTAAATAGTACCTCTCTAGGCGTAACTTTGTCACTTTCAATTCTTCCCCTCCCAGACACGGGTCTTCTTGAAACAACGCAATCAACAGAAGCAGCATCAGTAGTTAATCCAATTCCAGGACCACACCAAACGTCAGGAACCGCCACACAGCTCGATGATAACGATAACGGTGCTGATGAAGACGACGACGATGAAGGGTTATTATTCTGGACTGAGTTACTGCAGCCAATGGATACTCCTCCACCAACATTAACAGCAGAATTAAGGGATTTGTTCTTGTTGCTGTTCTGCTTTTTCTTCTTGACCCTTTTGGGATCCCAGTCAGCCGAAGTCCTAATCACAGCAGGAACCGACACTTGCGGTGATGCTGTACAACCCAGTCCCCTAAATGTAGCAAAGTTCTTCTTTTTAGTGGAAAAAACTGTAGAGGCACTGGGGGTAGTTGAGTTTTCATGGGTAGGACTTGTAGGTGAAAATGGTGCTAAAAGTAGAGATGAAATGGTGGGTTTAGTGGAGCGAGAAGAAGAAATTGGATCCATATCTTGGGTTTCTTGTTGGTTTTGCGTTCTGGGTTTTCTGTATCTAATCTGTTCTGAAACTGTGGAGCTTTCTGAAAACACTACAGGCATAGTTGCTCTGCACAGTAAAGGTGAAGAAGACAACAATGGAGAATTCAAGATTTGGGTTTGTAAAGAAAATTGATGTTGATTTTTGTAGAGAGAGAGAAGCACTAAAGAGAAGATATTGAAGATAAAAAGGGTGAAATTGAGAGGGAGAGAATAAGGGGGTGTCAGAGCCAGAGAAGAAACATTTTAAGAAGGAGAGAAACACAAGAATGATGAAGTGAGAGGTGAGGAAAAAAACTGAAAAAGAATATACTCTACTCCACTCCCCCCTCCCCAATTAGAGTCCGACTATTTTAAATTTCCGCTATATAAGATCTCACTTAAGAAAATGCTCTCTCAAGTGGGATTATTTTCAATTCACACTATGTATGTTCTCACTCGGGGAATGTTCTTTCTAAGAATTTTTTCATACTAAATTAAATCTAAGATTTATGATCAAAGAAGGAGCAATTAATTCACTACACCACATCTTTGATGATACTATCGTTAAAATATGAGAAAAAAATTAATAGCTTAATATTAAAAATCTCACTTTAACAAAATTATAGATGATATATATAAAATTTTATATATTTAAAATAAAAATAAAGCTGCAATTTATGGTTTAAAATGAGTTGAAACAAGCATCAATCGATTTCATATTTAGATTCAACTCAACCTTCTTTGTCCTTTAACAATTATGACTTCTTAGAAATTCAAATCCAGCAATTATCGAAAAAATTAAACTTTGATAGACTAAGTTATTATTTATAAATTGATTTAGTATCTATGTGGATTTAAATATATCATCAACGTTCATTTAATTAAAACCTTACGTATATCATCTTATAATTCTATCAAATGAATAAGTATTCTAAACCCAGAAAATTAATGTTTAAAGGAATTAGGATCGAATTAGGTTATATTTACAATATATTAAGAGCATTATTAACCTTTTCTCATTTAAAATATCATTCTATGAAAAGAAACTCTTTAAAAATATGTTTTTGCAATTATATAATATGGAAGTAGATAACTTAATTCATTACTAAGATTCTATCTTATCTGATAGTTTGCTAATCTTTACTTTAATACAAAAAGAATTGTAATGACAATTAATTTGTAATACTACCACAAAAATGAAATGCTACTGTGCTAGATGCCAATTTATATTTGTTAGTGTTTTCTGAGGGAAAAGGTGAACCAGAAAATAAAGTGGGGTTTAAGGGGGAGGAATATGAAAAAGATGGGTGGAGGAATTTTAGCAAAAAAATGTATATTGGTAATTTTTCCTTATAATATTCCTAATTTCCTATTATCCACCTTTTTAGTCTCTTTTGCCTTTCTTAGAAGTTGAGCATAGTGGAATTACGACAAAAACTTGATTAACTTTAATTACACAACATGAATATTGAAATGTGCAATTCAAATACAATATTATATTATTTTATCTCACGTTAAAATTAGATGAAAGTAGCATAAATAAAGATGGTTAAATTAATGTGTGGGTATATAAAGTGGATTATAACTTGAGAATATATGAGACAATGTGAGTGAGATGATTCGGACATGTGAAGAGCAGAAGCATAAATACTTCGGTGAGGAGGTACGAGAGGAAAAGGTAGTGCCGATTAGAATTGAAGAGAGGTGATTAGACATTATATGACATATTTTCAGTTCATCGAGGACATGATCCTAGATATGAGAGAATGTTGATCGAGAATTGTGATAGAAAGTTAGTAGGTAGTTGAGTGAATTTCTATCTTTTTTTAGTGAGGAGGGGGACATGGTTCTAGTTTAGAGCACCTTATCCACTTCCTCTTCTCCTTACCGATATTATTATTATTATTATTATTTTGTTCTATCACTATCTTATTCTTCAATTTTATTATTATTATTTTTTTCTCACTCGGCTATTTTCACCCATTATGTTGTCACTACTATCTTTCATTTGTTTTCATCATATTTTTTTACTCTTATATTTCTTTAACTTATTATGTAAATTACTTTTCTTGAATCGAAGATATATCAGAAACAATATTTCTTTGCTGAAAAGATGTGCGTACACTCCCTCTTCCCAAAAACTCTATTCACATAGGGTTGTTGTGAATGTGTTATTGATTTAAGTTTGGTGCAAATGATTAGCATCATTTTGGTTTGGTGAAGATGCATCAATTTGTCTTCTATGTTAGCTGCGTGGCTGACTAATTAGCAGAGTTGCAATAAAAATGTTTTGAGTCCTCAAAATTTCCTTTTGCTTTACTTTATTTTTATTGATTAAAGTGAAATAAAGGCTTTTTCAAAACAATTTATAGTGCCAACCAAAAGCAAAAAAATTAAAAGAAAAAGGAACAACTTGTTTTTGCCATTTTACTAGTGCGCTTTTAGTCAGAAAGGAACATTTAACGAATTTAGAATTTGACTTAAATCCTAATCAAGGTTTAAATAGTCATTTATTTTGACACTAACAGTTATCTAATTTTTGTTTTAACTACCCCAATTTAGATATACTTACCCTATGTTTCTATAACTAAGCAAAAAAAAAAAACAAACTACATTATCCTTTCATATTACACTGATCTAGTTTAAGTGTATAGGATCCAAAATGGCGTGCTTAATTTTGAATCAAAGTGAAAATTAAAATGTCATCTTTTTATGAGAAAAAGGTGAGACTAATTAGACTTGTTTCCTAACGATAGGTAACCAATCTTACACGTCAAAATTTTTTAACACATTATAATTTTAAGATCGTGGACTTAAAATTTCTTTTTAGATAATTAAATATTGTCACCTAAATTAAAACAAAAAAAATAAGTAAATTCTTTAGACGGTCCAGAAATCGAGAATGAGAAAGTCAACAATTTGCGGTATAGCAGCATAATATCTAATTCCCGGCTTCACGTTTACACTTCTTCAAGTGGGTAAACAAATACACTAACTTCCTATAAATCATCATCATGTGATAACAAAAAAGTATACTCTAGTATTTGTTTGACCTAAAAATGTGCCTTTAATATAAAGGATGAAAAATATTACGGGAGATGGTGCGGATCATGAATTTAAAATTTATGAATTGTTATAATAAAAATAAAAATTGTTAAAATTGTGAATTTAAGTTATAAAAAGAAATAAAAATTATATTTAATTTACGCGAATCTGTAATCGAGCTTTTAGATCCGTAGGTGAGATGATGGCCCGCCCCATTCCGTGAATTTTGTCTTTGTTATAGTGTTGTATGGCTTACAGACATGGTGCCGTTGACATCTTTCTTTTTTGGTTCCTCCGACAACAGAATAGACTCTACAAAGTAGACTTGTTTTCTATACACTCTATTGGTATTATTTTTTACAGCTAATTTGCTAACAAAATAATTATAATAAAATAATAAAATTTAAGTTGAGAAAATTTATAGAGCGGCAAATATTGTTTGAAAAGTTTAGAAAACAGAGGAGTAAAGTTGGGAGTTGAAAGTGAAAGGAGATTGATAAGTGTGACATTATTATAAAGAGAAAAAGAAGTTTATTGCTTCTTTTCTTTTTTGGTACAACATTTTCTGACATCACTACATCCCTTTTTGACTTTCTTGCTTCCATTCTAAGGTAAATCTCATAAATGATATAATTTGATTTGGTAACAATATAAGAAAAAATGAAAAAAAAATTAAATTGTTATTGTAAACATGTTATATTAGTATTTTTGAAATTCATAATTTTAAATATGCTATAATATATTTTTAAGGTAAAGTGGTTGAATGCAGTTAGAATATATACTAATTTGGGCTTTATAGTTTGGAATGTGATGGGCTATTTTATATTTCCGGGTTAGGCCCACATACATGATGGGCTCGCTTTGTTCGTGGATATTAGCTTTTTTTTTTTGGTTAAGTAACCTTCTTGTATGTATAGATCAAATTTATCGTATCAGTGCATACGGTCCCGTAGGATACCATCAAGATAGATCGTATGTGTTCGCTCAATTTTGTTGTATCAACGCAGATAATCACGATAGATTATAGAGCAATTTTTACATATAGCAAACACAAAATTCATATTTGTATGCTATAGCAAAATTTGCATAATTGCGCTCCATAGCAAACATGCTATGACTAGGCTATTTCGCTATACATATATACAAAAGAAACAATTGTATAATTCACTGGCTCCTCTTCAGATTTGTATAATTTCACTGGCAGACCATTTGTATAAATTGTTGTTAGCCTCTCGTTTGTATAAATCGTTGAGAGTCTCTCAATTTAATTTTATGTGTTTGTATATATGTATAAAATTTGAATTTGTATACAATTGAATCGAAATAAAATGTTTGTATATCAAATATCGTTCTCTCTCGCTTTATACAAACATAAATTATACATTGTATTTTGGATAATCTATGTTTGTATAAAGCAAGAAAGAGAGAAAGACAAAAGAGAACTGGACAGGGGAATATTTGTATTATATAATTATAAGTGTATAGGACGAAGATATATGTATTTGCATGTGTATATACAATTTTCTCTCACTTTATACAAATAGAAATACAATTTATACATTTCTGTTTGTATAAAGCGAGAGAGGCGAGCGACAGAGAGAGCGAGCGACAGAGGGAGAGTGGCGAGCGAGAGTTTGAGGGAGAGAGGCGACTGACAAACAGTTTGCTACAGGGCACAATTAAATCGAAGTATGGTTATACCATTTAATTTGAATTAATAGTTTGCCATTATGTATAATTTTCCCTAGATTATATGTGTGTTCCCTATATCAGCACATACAGTCGCGCAAATAATTTTTATAGACATACACTCATTCGACATTGACGATATATTGAATATACAAATATATACATACTACATATAGTCATCCGCTATTGAAGATACTTATAATACACAGCCGAGGAAGAAGAAGACGACCCAAATCTATGTAATTTTCTTTTGTATTTCAGTGTATTACACTTATATATATGAGACATAGGTGTGATACATCGAGTCATAAATTTATATTTTTATAATCAGTTTGAATGATAAAAATTAAAGAGCAAACCATTCCCACTTTGTTTGGATGGTTGTTAAGTACTGTTTCATAATATATCGTGTTATACTATATTGTTTTAATAAATATAATGTTTTGGATATATTGAATCGTTCTTTCTCGTTACATATTGGCTATTTTGAATGCTAAACCTACAAGAAAAGTAGGATATGAGATAAAGTTGTATGAAAAGA